TCCACTGAACAATCTATTACGGTCCGTCTCGCCTGTGACGGTCCGTCCTGCCATTCCGTCACGAAGTTCAGAGAGTCGATTTTCAGTACCCAATTTCAGATTTTCTAAGTGTTTTGAAACGAGACCCTGCGACGGTCCATCGTGCCCATGACGGTCCGTCGTGGAGTCCGTCGCCTCAGCCTGTTTTTCCAGAAATAAAATCTGCTGCTCAAAACGACTAAACAGGTCGTTACACACACATGTATCTAGGTGTATGTGATTTGAATTCTAATATAAAATTATTAAATTAAGAAAATAAAATATAATTATTTCAAATTATAAAGACAATTAATAAATATGATAGAAATATTTATATAATTAAGTAGCTTTTCCTTTTATTGGCTAGAAGAAAGGAAAACATTTTAATGTTGGTAATTCCAAAATAATAACTCTAACTAGTAATTAAAGACTTATTATAGTTCCAGTATTGTTGTCAACATGAATTAGCACATTTTTCTTTATTATATAACCAATAATTAACCATATAACCGATCTAAGTTAGTTTCTTATCTGAAGATTAAAAAAATGGATTCTCATATCTGAATGTGAGAATGTGCAAGTGGATCTTTTTCGAAAATTTTGTCTCTGATAATTAATTAAGTGTCACTATTTAATTAAGCATATTGTCACAGTCTAATCACTAATGTTACATGACATTAATTTTTCTAGCAATAGTACTAGTACTAGAATTTCTCAATATTTTTATCTTAACCTATAAAGTTTTATCATGAAAAAGAACACACTATCTTACTTGTCCGTCTGTTACTTGTAAAATTTACCTTTACTTTTACAAATCAAAAAAGAATAATTTATTTATTTATTATGCATTCAATTAATTACTTTGAAAAGGATTGAAGTTTTTGAAAATATTAAATTTTTAATCTACCACTTCATGACTAACAAGATAAAATGATAAATTCATTATGTCAATTATTATTTTCTTAATATATGTCGAATCAAAAGTGGACAAATAATTAAAAACAAAGAAAGTATATACTTGTGTAAGATTCACGGAAAAGATCTCTAAATATTTTTATTGTTTAAAATGTGGTAAATTAAGAAAAAATAAAATACAGGCAAGATTACAGATACATCTGAATATGTTACAATAATAAAAACAAATAATATTAAGCAAAGACAAAAATCTGGATCACACTAATGAAAAAAAAATTAATCAAGAGATCATGAGATTCAAAACTGAATCTACTATAAGTTGATCAAATATCCAATAAGAAAATTCAAATGATATGATCATAGACTGTTTTTCAATACTTTGTAGCTTGCTACTCAAAATTATTAAATACTTTATAACTTACTATTCAAGATATTAGACCTTGTTTAATTTCAATAGGAGTGACATATAATTAGTTTTAGAGTTTTAACCCAAAGAAAAAATGTTTTAGAGGGAGGACTTCATTATTTTAAAACTTAATACATAAAATATAATTTACAAATAAATTTATTTGGGATGGTTCGCTATTTTATTTTATTGTTTTATTTTAAAAAGTTGTTTTTATAATACTAAAAACCCAACTAATTATTCGATATGGTTATAAAATCAAATAAAAACCTATCATTTTTTCGGATAAGTCAACTATTCACTCCCAGTAATAAAAAGACCTACATTACTATGTGTGAAGAATTAAATGGATTGAAATAAAAGAAATATTCTATTTTCATTACAGATTATAACCTAAAGAACAATAAATATTTACACCCCCGTTTAGAAATAATTGTCAGATTTAGATCATACACATCCTTCAAGAAAAAATTAATATAATATGTAATTTAACTAATATAATCCTAGAAATAATTGTCAGATTTATAACAATAACTCTAATGACTCTTACATTTAAAGGCAAATGAAGTTTATACAGAGAGTGGATACAGAGAATGGACTTTTGGTATACAGAGAATGAATATTTACGTGCTACGAATCTAATGACTCTTAAAAAACTGTACTGACAATGGTTGATATTTTATTAAAACTGCAAAAGCAACCTTTTATAAATTAAAGTCTTCTTGTAACTTTAAATCAATAATTATTAAAATGAATAATTATTAAGGGTAGAATTGGAAAAATGAGCCAATTAGTTGTTAATTATTTAAATTGACAATTAATCTTGGACATTTATTTTTAGTATAACTGACAATTATTTCTGGACGGAGAAGAGAGTATAATTTATGTAGATCCTAAACTAATTAGAATGAAAGTAAAAATTCAATTAAATGGTTTCGGTCAAGTATATTAGTGAATCACATTTCAGAATATGAATTTGAACTAAAAAGAAAATAAGTAATCATTAATCACATCTAGATCCTAATTAGAGTGAAAGTAATTACTTTAAAATATCTCTAGTTATATATACTTTTAACTAGGGGTACAAAATCAAATAAAAAATCGAATCAAATTAGAAAAAAAAAATTCGATCAATGGTTTGGTATTAGAAAAAAACTCTGATTATATTTGGGTTGGTTTTGTTTTAACTAAAAAAAATAATCCGAGATTAAACCAACCCAATATTATATATGTAATTTTAAAATTTTATTTTTATACATTAAAATATTATCATTTTAAAATATTTCTGGTACTATTTCATAGTTTTTATCTTTTAATATATTATTTCAAGTTTAAAACTTAGAATTCAGAATGGTTCAATAAAGAATATAGTTCATAGATGTTGATAATTATAATAAAACTTAAATCAAATTTAAATTAATACTAATGCAAAAAGAAAATCAATTCAACACTAAGAATGACAATAATATTGAATATTTGTTCTTTAGTTTTACATTGATTTAGACAATCAAAATATATAATCTAATTTAATTTTACTTAAATATTTAGTAATGTAACTAATACTTATTAAACTTCTTTTATCATGATTTAGTACTTTTAAATTATGATTATTTTTATTATGACTTTACAATATTTATTTTATATGTTGATTTCATTATTTTATTTTATTTTTGAATATTTCTGTGTCATCAGTACTCATCTCATATTTTTTGTTATTTTTTTAAGGAACACCTTAGATAATTGTATTTTGATTGGACTAAAGAAATATTTGGAGCACAAGTTAATAATTTGTTTATATGCAAGCTTCAACGGAAAAATCCAAAAATCTGGAAAAATCCGAAGTTTGTTAGTTTGATTTGATTTATAAACTTAAAAATTCGACATAATGGTTTAATTTGGTATTTGAAAAATCTGAACCAACCCGAAGTTGAAAAACCTAAAAAAAAAATCCAAACTTTATTGATTTGGTTTGATTTATAAATTTAAAATTATTACATGAATAATTTGATTTGATATTTAAAAATCCAAACTAACCTGATCATTTACCCCCTAGTTTTAACCACTCTGACAGGGCTAAAATATTTATAGCAAATATTGCACATAAACTAAACATGATACTAACATGACTTAGAAGCATAATGAGACAAAAAGAAACATTTTATTTCGAAGAATGTATTATGTATGTATAAATTACAAGTAAAGAGAGCTGACTTAGTCAACTCTCTTTCAGCAAATAAATACAAGGAAAAAATAAATCAGTATGTCGAAGTAAGAAATTATGCTAATCTTCTCTGTATCGTTTTGATGAACCATGAAGTATACATTATTTCGGTTTTGTTTGGTCTATGATGACTTATTAAGTAGGGATGTGAGACTAATGAAGTAGTCTTCACTACATGGAATTGTTAGACCACCCATTGGATGGCTGTACCCAAACTCTTCTTTAGCCCAATGTAACAAATCTTGAAACAAAGGATGACTCAAATGTGCTATTGGAACAACAAATCTTCTACATGTTTCACCAACATATACTACAAAATGTCCCTTTGGAACATAATTAGTCGTGGTTGTTGGTGATACACTTTCATTTTTATGTGAAATCGATCGTCGAAGTTTGTTTTTTGCATGAGCTATACCAACTAAACCCCTTCCCATTTTTCGAGAAAAAATAAGTAAACAACAGGACAGGTATTCTCAAAAAAAGAAAGAACGAAAGAAAGAAACGAAAACAAACTAGGAGGTAATAGTGAATATGTAAGACTTGCTAGGTTATAGCAAGACAATAGAAAAGCTAGTTAGCTTTGACTAGAAAAAAAAGGTTCAGATTGAAGTGTGGGAATAGAATTGTACTATTGACTAGTGTTTGCAATGGTAGATTTTGAAAAGTAAAGTGTTATATATATAGGGACACTACATTCATCAAATTATGAATAAAGAAGAGTCTAGTAAGTGAATTTGGTAAAAACATATGGTTAGATATTAGCAAAATATCACATGGTATTTGGCTTAATATATATATTAAGACAACATGTGTTACCACTTTAGGGTACAAAGAAGAATAATAAGCAGATTACACAATATAAAAAAATGTGATATGCTAATATTTGTATCTAGTTATTCTCTACAAGCACTTACACTCACTACATTTCAAAATTTACGATTGTTTGTTGATACCTAATAAATTTAGAATCCCAAAGAGTTTGTTCTCTATTATAGGAGCATTGAACTTGAACTTGCATTATTTTTACAATTAAAACTAAGTAGGGTCATTGGGATAATATATTTTAGATTCTTGATATTGGAGCCTCAACTCACCTTGTACAAATTTTTTAATTGAGTCAGGTTAGTTGATTAAGATTTGTATTTGGATTCTCTACTTAAAGATTAATTCCAACTCTGTTCAATAGTAAAAATGCCTTAATTGATAGAGATTTCTTGTCGAGAATTGGATTTTAAACTTTTTGAACATGGTTGTTTCTGAAAAAGAAAAATAACATAATTTTTCTTTGTATAGTATTATATTTGTTTGTACAATAAATATGTACGAGTAATCTTTTTCAAATTGTGAGATTTAAAATTTTGAAAGTAAAATATATTATTTGTTCCATTAGTAATTTGATGATGTAAAAATTATTTATATTAACCAATTCTTAACAGCTTAGTTGCCACACAAGCATAATTTGCCACATCGTCAACAAAGACATAACATTCCATGTCACAACATGACACGTGAAACTCTCACCTCAGGTTGTTAGAGGCGCGAAATTAAGATTAGGAGTATGAGATTTTAAATTAATTTATTTGGGATTCACAAATTAATATACATAAAAGAAATTCTAACATATATATTGAATTTACGAAGAAGTTAAGTGAATTCTTCCAAACTCATGAATTCCCACCCGACTGATAATTTTTTATTTATCTTATCTTTTCCTTACACATATTTTTAATTTCATAGGATTCCTTTGTATGTTGATTTGGGTAAGAGAAACGGAAACGAGGTTAGAAGGTCAAAATTTGAACTAGCTAGAAAATAGTTAGATAATTAATTAAGTTATTAAAGTTTTCTTCAAAGGATTCCTCTTACATATATTGTCGTAATCTCTGAGAATTACTATCTTTTGGTTCAAGCAATCATTTCTTGATTTGGTTCCTAATTTCTTCTGTCATTATTAGTTACAAGGTAAGAACCATCACTTGTTATTAGTTTATAGCTAGTGAGTTAATGATTTTGTTAACAATTTCAATTTTTAATTTTTGATTGATTTGAATTTTTTATTATTCTACAATGTGTTAGTGTTTATTTTTGAGCAAGATGTAATATGTTAACTCATGTGCATGGTTCATTAGATTTGTTGCCTTGTTTTTAATTGATCTTTGAATAATTTTTTTTGTTAAATCTTAACAGTTAAATTAATAACCGTACCGATAACAATCAATAACCAATAAATCAAACACTGATAAAAGTATGTTCACCAAACTTATTTTTCTTGACCTTTTTGATGTTCTATTGCTGTCACTAGTAAATGATTTAATCTTCTCTGTTTGTTGAGTCCTTATCTTTCTCTCTTGAACATATATTGTCCATGGTAAGCAAATATTTTATCAAGCAAAAGATAATTGCCTCACCAAAATTTTCGAATTTAGGAATTAGTGGAAAAAATTTCAGCGAGTCTTTCGAATTTCTTGAGTGTCAAATATTTTAAAGAAATACTTAACCATTAAATAAGCGGTCAATTTTGAACCCAAAAATAGATAACATGAGTATTTGGAGCCAATAGGTGGATGATAAGGCCATATTGAAGCTAATAGATAGACGGAAGGTAGTTTTGTACCATTCTCTTTCTCTCTCTCTCTCTCTCTCTCTATATATATATATATATATATATAAAAAATTACATAAACAAAGACCTTTTATTTTATAATTATCAATTTTTAATTAAACTTTTTATTTATTACCATTTTTGTGAACTTTTAGCTATATTAACTTAAAACAATTTTAGAACACATTTATTCTTTTTTTATACATTTTTTAAACCAAGTAAAAACGTATTCGCTCATAAGTCAGATCCTCTCTCGCTCTTTTCTTTTTCTCTCTCCTTCTCCTCGTCTGTTCAAAAAATTAGGGTTTTTGTTATTTTTTCTCCATTTTTCTGCGCAAATTTTCATGGAAGAAGGTAATGAAAAATCTCTTAGAAGAAGTCCGCGTCTAGTGAGGGATATTGATACTTTGAATCCGAAAGTTTATAGAAGAAGTCGAAAGAAGCGTCAAGTTTAGTCTTCTACTTCTATGGATGAAGTTCCAAGTTTTAGATTGGGAATATCATAAATATCGGGGGAGCAGAACAATGAGGAGAAGAACAATGAGGAACATAATAAGAAGCAAAAGAAAGGTAAAAAACGAGTTAAAGAGGTTAAAACATTGAAGAAATCAAAAAAAATATGTGTTACTTTGGCATCTACGTCGAAGAAACTCGTTGACAGTGATGATGATTTTGAGGATTTACCTCCTCAATTTCAGGCAAAAAGTTTGAAACATAAAGAAGGATTGGAGAAGAAAAAGCTAGTGAATGATGGAAAAACACGAAACCGTTTATCCAAAAATGTCATTCTACCAGAGAGTAGATATCCGGTATGTGCTAGTAGTTCTTAGTTATTTGTTGTTTAGCAATGATTGTATGTTGATTGTTGCTTGTTTTTTAGATTTAGTATGTGAAATTCATCTTTGATTCAACTTTAATTCAACTTTAGTATGACACAAGAAGTGAATAGAGCAAGTAGGATTCTGAGTGCTGACCTTAACTAGATTGGGATTTGAGTGTCCTAGTGTAATGAATATAGAAAGAATATCAGGCTCATAGTTGGTTAATTACTAAAGTTCCTCAATGGTGCACCATGAGACTATAGCTTATTGGGTGACCTTTGTATCAGCACAAATTCAACAACATAGTCTATGTGTAAATTCAAAATAGCAATAAGACGCTTACCAGATCTTATGTCCTCCCCAACTTGAAATTTCTACTTTCTGAAATTGTATTTTGTAGCATATCCCCCCATCTCAAACCTCCTCAAAACCAAAAAAAAGGAAAGAAACAAATCAAGTTATGAAAAGTATCTCTGGAAATCTGTCCAATTTCACGTTACAGAACTATTGTCATGTTAGTTTGTTATTGTCTTACTAGTGTTGGTTTACTTATCATTCATTCTCAATATGATTCTAAATTAATAATTACATTTGACCATTAACGTGTTTATTTTAGTTTTTCTTTTGGGTGGTGAATTGATTTGTCTTATAACTGCATTTCTGTAATCTTTCTGATCAACTTTGTGAATAACTCTTAGAGAAGAGAGTTGGGTTGTGAATGTATGATGTGTTGGTGTTGCAATTCATTTAGGATAACAAACTCAAGATCAAACATGCTCCCTCTCACTGCCTTAGTATCCCCCTTAAACTTTTCAAGGGGCATGAACACGATATGAGTTGAAGCCTTTAACTATATCATTGTTTAGGCTGCTTCTGTTGAAGTTGATAAGTTGTTTCTGGATTTGGAACCACAAGTGATCATTGTTGTAATTCAACTTTAATTCATATTTTATTCAACTGATTACTACCTTTCTTTGACACATAGTATGTGAAATTCATCTTCAATTCATCTTTAGTATATAGTAACACATTTTTAATTCATGTTTAATGCATATGCAGGATCGTAAATTCTGAAAACATCCTGATGCTGTGTATATTTCGAGTAGGTGGTCATGTTACACTAATCATAGTGTCATTGAACAAATCAAACTATCTTTATTTGATAAACAACTTGAGTTGTTTAGGAATACATGTTTTCAGTACTTTCTTGACCTTCTAAAATCAAGCACACAACTAGAACTTATTTATTGTGTTATAAATAGAGAGTTAAAACACACACCGGATGATGTGTTTGCTATTGAAAGAAATAACAAAAAGTTATTTTTTGGTCTTAGAGAATTTGGGATAGTTACGGGCTTAAATTGTGTTAGTGATGACACTTCTATCAATGTTTCCAATTCTAGATGTAGTTTGATGAGTAGTTATTTCCCGAAAAAAATCACAGTTCCAAAAAGTCTCTATGTGCACTGTTTTTAGCTAAAAAATTCATAGATGATGACTCAACTGTTGCATTGGTTATTCTATACTTCATTAATGATTTTTTATTTTTGTATGAGGACAACGAATACCAAAATAGCAATAGAGATTTTTACCTTGTGAAAAGTGGAAAATTCAATTCATATCCGTGGGTTTTAGATGTCTACAAAAGGTTGTCTGATTCTGTGAGACATGAGCTTAAGTCAACACATAAGTACTATAGAATTGGTGGCTTGCCTTTTGCTCTTCAAATTTGAATATTTGAGTGTTGTTCAAAGGTTGATGAAGTTATAACTATTCGTGTTGCTAATTCTATTTCAAGAATCTTGAATTGGAAGACAATTGCAGAAAGACCTTGGTTAAAATATATTGAGAAATGTCTCTTCATGCCTACAAAAAATAAGATATTTGTACAAAGTTAATACATTTTATTACATTGTTTATTTGAACTCAAGTTACTATATCTAATGTTATTTTGTGCATTTGATTTTTTAGTTTGAGAACATAGTGGCCAGTGAAGATGAAGTATCCAAATTCACGCTTCCTGAAACTCGTGATTACCATGCTGAAATTTTGAAATTGGAGCCGAAAGGATCAAGTCATGGTCTAGACATTTTGACCAATGAAGTCATAGAATTGAGAAAAGAGCTTGTAAAAGTATACACAAACTACACTTTAGGCTTTTTATTTTAAAACTGTTATTTTTTTAATATTTGCGTTATGATTTGATATCTATTAGGTGAATG